TGTAGTGTGCCCCTATGTAGGGTTCTCCCTGTGTAGTGTGCACCTATGTAGGGTTCTCCCTGTGTAGTGTGCCCCTATGTAGGGTCCTCCCTGTGTAGTGTGCCCCTATGTAGGGTTCTCCTTGTGTAGTGTGCCCCTATGTAGGGTCCTCCCTGTGTAGTGTGCCCCTATGTAGGGTTCTCCCTGTGTAGTGTGCCCCTATGTAGGGTCCTCCCTGTGTAGTGTGCCCCTATGTAGGGTCCTCCCTGTGTAGTGTGCCCCTATGTAGGGTTCTCCGTGTGTAGTGTGCCCCTATGTAGGGTTCTCCCTGTGTAGGATTCTCCATCTTTTAGGGTCCTCCCTGTGTAGGATGCCCCCTGTGTAGGATTCTCCATGTGTAGGTTTCTTCCTATGTAGGAAGAATCCCCTTGTTGGGGTTTGCCCTGCGTAGGGTTTCCCCTTCTATAGGGTTTCCCTTGTGCAGGGTTCCCCCATGTAGGGTCTGTCGTGCGTAGGGTTTCCCCCTCCATATGGTTTCCCTTGCATAGGGTTCCTCCGTGTTGGAGTTTGTCCTGCATAGGGTTTCCCCTTCTATAGGGTTTCCCTTGTGCAGGGTTCCCCCATGTAGGGTGTTTACGTGTGTGTGTGTGTGTGTGTTGGCCCTCTCCTGATGGCCCTCTCCTGACAGGAGCTTACCTGGTGCCCTACCTACTCCTGCTGATCGTGATCGGGATCCCCCTCTTTTTCCTGGAGCTGGCAGTGGGCCAGCGAATCCGGCGGGGGAGCATCGGGGCATGGAATTACATCAGCCCCCGCCTGGGCGGCCTCGGCTTTGCCAGCTGCATGGTGAGTGTCTGGGAGATCCCTGATAGATATGACCTTCACCGCCCCCCTTAGTCTACTTGGTGCTCAGTTTGACCCGTCTGTCTGCAGGTCTGTTTCTTCGTGGCTCTATATTACAACGTCATCATCGGCTGGAGCCTCTTCTACTTCTCCAAGTCCTTCCAGCAGCCGCTGCCGTGGCACGAGTGCCCGCTTGTAAAGAATGGCACAAACACATGTAAGACAACTGCAGGCCTGGTGGCACAGGCACTGGCAGTTTGGCACCAAGCTATATTATGACGGCATGTCTGCATGGAGCTCTGTTTGTCATTCATAGATGTGGAGCCAGAGTGTGACAAAAGCTCTGCCACCACATACTTCTGGTACCGGGAGGCTCTGGACATCTCCAACTCCATCTCTGAGAGTGGGGGCCTCAACTTGAAGATGACGCTGTGTCTGCTGATCGCGTGGGTCATGGTGTGCATGGCTATGATCAAGGGGATTCAGTCATCGGGGAAGGTGAGAGCCATTCTCTGGAGGCACAGAGCCTCGGGCATAGGGTCCAGGCCCATTCAGAGTCTTATCTGGGAGGGTGAGAGCCCATTGCTGGAGGCACAGAGTTTAGGACATAGGGTCTAGGCCTTTTTAGAGTCTCATATGGGAGAGTGAGAGCCCATCACTGGAGGCACAGAGCCTAGGGCATAGGGTCCAGGCCCTTTCAGAGTCTCAGAAGTTGATCAAAAGTTTTGCAGACCAGCTTTGGAGGAGTTTCCAGGGGAAGCTTATGGCGTGTGCCTGAGTGTAAACGTACGAGCACGAACATAAGAGCTGCATGGCGATATTCTCCTTAATTCAACCAGATCCTTAACAGTTTTGGACACAGGCAGAGAAGCTCAGTTTGGATGAGTCTTTATTCTACTGTACAATACAGTGTTCTGCTTTTAAAAAACATGGGTGTTAATTTCATTGTGATGAGGTAGTCAGTGTTTTAACCCACTCGACGTTCTGTAATCTGTGCATAGTGTTATGAGCCTTTGCAGTTCGGAGGGGTGTATTTTAGGGCTGGGTTTAAAAAAAATGTATTTAATTCAATTGATTGATTCAAATTGATCTTCATTTGCTTAATCCAATATTGATTTCTATTAAACCCTAGATTGATTTGTTTAATATGCACATTTTCAGTCTATGGCCTTTTCCTATGGATGTATGAAACTTAAACCTCATTAGTCTCGCGTGGCCAGACTCGCACAGCGAGGTCTGTCAACAAGATCCGATACAAAACACGGCGGAGCTGCTCCACTGAAGGAAGCATGATATCAAATTGCTATTATCTGAAATGTTTGTGCTTAATATTGCGTTATCTATCAAATAAAAAAGATGCAATTTAACCAAAATACACTATAGCCAAACAGAAGTTGTTATCTATCAATAGAATGTATCAAGTAAGTTGCCGGTGTTGCTCGAGTCAACAGACATGAATCAGTGCTGAGAAATGCAATGTGATTACAGGGCATACGTTTGGCTTTTCAGTATTACAAGGACAACAACAACAACAACAACAAATTTATTTTTGTATAGCGCATTATCACAACATTACATTGTCCCAAAGCGCTTTATAGCATCCCCACCCAAAGCCCCCAGTGAGTAAGCCATAGGCGACA